GCTAGGACTGGGTCTAAGATTGAATTTTACTTCCATGTCTTCTCATGTTCTATTTTTTTAAGTTCAGTTTCTGCATTTGCATCTTTATGGTGCTTGTGGTGAGAAGCTTTATTGCTATTATCAAGAACTCCTTGGGAAATGGACATGTCTCCATTAGGAAGACATCTTTCAGGGATGTCTTCTAGGTGTAGCTGGCTTTGAGTTTTGAGTATGTTGCAAGTTCCTACATCTGTAATTTATTGGAGGTGAAAAGTTGCTACTGACTTGGTCTTTCCCTGGTTTCTTTTTGGCTTTGGTCCACAGTGCTTTTTATGACCCTAAGATAATGTGTGTCTTGGAGTATAAGGGAGAACTGATTAGAAGCAGGACATTTTTGGCAGCCTTGAGCTTTCTTTTCATTTTTTTGGTGGAACCGGGGATTGAACTCAGACCCTTGAGCTTGCCAGGGAAACACTTATTCCACTGAGCCATCTCCCCGGTCCTGGGAGAACTGATTAGAATAACTATGTTACCTTGGCCAAAGTAGCATGATCAGTTAATAACAAAACAATGGGCACCACTTAGGAAATGATAAACTGTCATAATTATTAATTTGAAGCTTTTAACCATGTGGAAAAAATTTATAATTATATAACAAAATCTAAAACAAACCAGAAAGTTGTATACATAAAAACCCTCTCAATAGAGTAATTTTACACTCAGGGGGAAAATTTAAGAGGAATAAGAGAAAACATAGAGAAAGAGCAGAAAAATAGATGAAATAGATTAGAAGCAAGGCTGAAGGACCAAACAAGATTATGAAAGCTTTGGGAAACTGGTAAGAATAAAAAGGTAAGAAGGAAGAAACAGAAATGAGAGAAGAAAGTAACAAAAAACTAGAAACAATATTCACATTCACATAAAAACAAAAATAATCAAGAAAAAAAAAGTATAAGATGTAAGGAAAATTTATGTCCCCTCCAGAACTGTATTTGTTGTCATTGGTAGACAAAGGGGGCAGACAACATTCAGATCCATGTTGGCTGACCTCAGCAAGCCTGCAGCATAATTGTAGTGGGGTGGTGGATGATCTCAGCCAGCCTGTGATTTCAAGGCCATCAAAGTTCAGGCTGATCCTGGTGTATAGCTGTGAGGCTGGGACCTGAATTACTCAGCTCACAG